GGGTGCGGCTACACGTAAGCTATAATTTGCCATGTGCTTATACTTTACGTAGGCTCAATAGACCAACTTCGATATATTAACATCGAAATTGGTCTATTCTATTACAAGATATGTTATAGTTCTCAAGTATTGGCACAGGTATCCCAAGCTCCCTGGGTGCCGTGAACATTGTTACATGACATTGCATAACAGCGTAAATATATGAGTTTGTAAGGGAATGCACCGATCGTATGTAATAGTTCGAAATATGAAAAAGAACTTGAATAAAAACAACTTACTTCTACTATTCTGTGTGTTTCTTTTGTTTCTGTACCATTTTGGGGGCCGTTTCAACGCGATTCCAACGGGTTTCAGTTTCATTAAAAAAATAAGCGGGTGTGGGGAGGGCCGGAGGGGGCGGAAGGAAAGATAATTTTTTCCCTTCCCCTCCCCCTTACTCCACTTTCAGCCTTACTCCTACTCCCTAAGGCACAAGCTAACTCTTACATACCTTGTGTGTTGTTATAAGTCAGTATATGGGACTAAAAACACCACAAGTTAGTAGGATACCAAATGGAAAGATTAAGGTACAAACATTAATTGGATAATAAACAAAGAACAGAAGTGGTTTCACACAATCTCTGGAGTGCTCAATACAAATACTTGCAGGGCGAAAACTACACATAGAATTTTAGATTTTTGTTGAATTAAACATGTCATAGAAATATTACATCATGTTGGCAATCATAATTTAGTTATAGTTTGAAGTATCCGTGAAGTGAATCTCCACACTGAAGTGCAATGCATGAGTACAATCTTATGCCAACTGTAGACAGAAACACAGTTTACACTTGATGACTTGTCCTGAGGGGAACAGTGAATTTTGTTTCCCGAGAATCTCAATGTTTCCTGAGACGAAGTGATTTGTTCTATAGCAAAACAAATGGGACTAACCAGTGGAAAACAAATGATCACTTTATTAATAAATGACATGCCACAGCAGTCAACATTTCCCGGGTAACAGTGAACTGTTTCCCATTTGACGTCATAGTTTTCGCAATGCTGCCCGCTCATGGCATTTGGCGGGAAACAGTTTCATTGTTAGATGTCATGTGACCATGAACTAGCCAATGAATGGGTGCACTGTAGCGGGAAAGTCACCAGCTATATAACACAATATGTTGACATGGTACATAAACAATGTGTTAATCTCAGGAGCCATAGCTTTGTTTCCAACAATTTTAATTGATTGTGTGACAATACAGCAAAATATCAACAAGATCATTCACATAAAACATTAGCATTAATTTACTTATGACAGATCTGACTTCATGCTGAACCATTTCTATGCAAGCAATAAATTGTTTCCATTCTGAAAGTATTTACACCCTAATTAGCATTACAACACAACCACATTTAATTAAGCTTCGCTCAAGTACAAACCGGATTTGTCAATGTAAGGAAATATTTTTAATAGTATTTTTAAATATCAGAACAAATGAGACTGGAACAATCTGCAGTTCCAGAATATATCCATATCCACCCAGAGGAAGGTCAATGAAAATTAAACTAACATGGAATTTGGGGGTGGTGGTTCACACCAAGAAATGCCTTCTGTAGGCATATATGGATATTATTTTTGGAACATCACATTGGCTCTAGCAGCACACGTAGCAAATCAGGAATTATTGCAGAATTTATTCATTTATTTAGAGTGAGTTTCATTTGAGTGTTGAATGTAATCAGGCAATTACTCTGGTTTTACTAGGGTTTGAGATTGGCTGAGATGTCTAATTGATTTTGGTTTCAAGTGAAATCCATTCTAGTTGAGCATTGACTGGAATGATTATGTCATGAAGAACTGACAATTCTGCACACTCTCAACCTCTGTAAAACAAAGCTTTGCTAAATACCTCAGTATCAAAATTAAAGAAAGCTGATGAGAAGTAAAAGAAACCCTTAAAGCCTGTGCAACTTCTTTTTAAAGCATCATTGCCAAAAGTACTACTTATTATTCTTTTAACCTAGTCATAGCAAAGCCCTATATATCAGCAACTGATTTACTTTAACAGTTTCTATCAAAATTGACAGTTAGTTGAGGGAGAGGCCAAGAGAAACCTTAATCACTTGTCAGTTATCTATTACTGTGAAAGTGGTGTGCATTAACCCATATAAAATGATAAACAGCTGGAAAAAAGAACACAGATGTGGTGTCACCACAATATTTGAATCTTTGTTTTGTTAAAATTTGCAAATGCTATCGTGGTCAGTGGATATTCATTTACAGAGCCACCGGAAAATAAATAAATAATTTAATACTGATTGTCCCACTGTAAAATGGGACAAGAAATCAAAATTAAATACATGTCAACACACAATTTATGTCAGGAAGCCGAAGAACTGGTATCCATTGGGCTACTTTGCAATGAGAGCATTAGCTGTAAGAAACGGAATACACTCTTAAGCCGTTCAAGCATTGATGTCATTCCTAAAATTATAAGCTTTGCTTTGTCTTGAAGGGGTAATGCTGCAAGTACCCACCACACCCAGTCTGGACCATCATGAAGTAACTGAAGGTCTTCCTTGAAAGCTGGGACAGGTCCAATGGCATTAGTGACGCACTGACGCTGTTCTGTGGTCATCTGGCTGAACCAATTCTGCAATGTTATGTAACCATCTCTGTTTAGCGCAATGAGTTGCTTTAGTTCCTCCGCATCCTCAACGCTTTCATCTTGTAACCATTCTACAGTAGCTGTGTGATAACCATCTACCATGCTTCGTGAAATGACACGGAATCGTCGTCCACCTACTGTGTGCACAATGGAACGTCCATCAGGAAGAAAATGCACAGTTTCAACATTGAGCATGGTCCCATAATCTGCAAAGTCTTTATCTGGGTCATCGCTCTCCACACACATGCCAAACTGCCTGGAACCTGACTTGACACATCGGCGTAACATTAGGCGATATCTCGGCTCAAACACATGCAATGGACATGGCACTTTTGGCACAGCTACAGTACAGACAAAAATAGGCACATGTGGACTGTCACCTTTCCCCAAACTGTTGAGAAGAGAGTGAAAATAGATGTTAGAATGAATGTCAAATGCACACAACTCAAACCATTGAAGGCAACACAGTGATACAATAAGATGTCTTTCCTCACTTCAATCATTTTGGCTACAGCAAAGTGAATATGGGGTGGGGGAAATAAATGTCCCTTTATGCAGACAAATCCCCAAAAACTCGTCAGAAATTGCATGAAGTCACAGGACCCAAAACAATAAGGGGGTGAAATGCAATACAGAATGACCTCCAGTAATCTGATAGAAGACAAACAGGATCACCACTGTGACACACATTGAAACAACGAAGTAGCCCGGGACCCTGAGAAGTAAACTAGTGAGACAATCTCACATAGTCCTGAGAAGTAAACTAGTGAGACAATCTCACATAGTGCAGAGTGTAATTTATGGCTCTGATGCAGTAGTCACACAGGTCCTCACCCCTGCTGTTCCCTGGCCTTTTCCCCTTTGCAAAGTATGAGCGGACAAAAACTTGATAAGACATAATCTTAGCCACGTGTATGTTTCATGTTTGTGTTTTGCTCAAAGATAACTTATAATTACCGTTTAAATTTATTGTCGTATTTTATCTTGAGTTTCGTTCATTTTGTAGCATTACTTTTCATGCCAACATTTGTAATTTGATACTTTTGTTCTCCTCGCCAATGTATGCAACAAGATACCTTTGTTTCCACGAAAGTATAAGATGTGTATTTTTTTAACTCAATGCTGGAGATAAATGGAATATAAAAGTTAAATATCCGCTG